TAGGTATAGTCATACAAAATATGGGTGTGGTATCTCCGATGTTTCTTCAAATGTCAACCAATTTGACAGCCACTAATGATAATTGAAACACATTATCTGTTGGAAATTAATATTTTAATTTAATATTTAAATATATATATATATATATATATATAAATAATAGTTTAGTGTTTTATCAATCTTATTCTCTCTCACGTATGCACGTGTAGATCAAGTCTACTTAATTCTTTTTTTCCTTTTAACGAAATATTATTATTTTAATCAAAAGGCACACTACTATTTAATTTTTCGAAAGACTTGCTGCATGTTGAGAATCAACACTTGGGTTCCAAGTTTTAAAAATTATTTTCAGAACAAAACATGGGTGAGTGCATTTATATATAGGTATCTAAGTAAAAGAAAAAATAGACAACAAGTTCACTTATCTCTCCTTTAAAATTATTTCTACTACTAAAATATATTTTTTAGAGTGGTATTCTTTTGTGTGAGAATCTTTCACTGCACTCCAACAGTCTAATAAGTTGACGTATCTTGAGAGAGGAACACACTATAAGACTCAAAATTACCGGTACAATAGAAACGTTTTCTCTCTAAGAATAATGCTCTGCGTGCTTCAATCCAAATTACTCTAATTTTGTTATTTATTATTTTAATTTACTCTTTATTTTAATTGGTTGTTGCTGAATCCTCTGATTTTGATTTTGAAATATTCATTATTTTGTATATTGGTTTTCTTGATAAATTTAATTAATTATTTATTTGTGTTTGATTAAATTCAATTTACTCTGTTTCTTCCGACATTAACATGATTAATAAGGGACAATCAGAACATTGGAAATTGAACTGAAGATCAGAAAAAATAGTGGCATTCTTCTGCGCAAGCATCAACCATCAGTAGGCAGTTCTCCGCAATTAGCAATTCTGCAAGGCTTCCGAGGGTTATCTAACCTACTCGTCTCCTGGGATTCAAGTGTCTTCACAACATCCATTCCATCAATGACATGTCCAAACACAACGTGACGATTGTCTAGCCATGGAGTCTGCATAAAACAATCAAGACACTTAATATATACAGTAGAATTTTTGAAGATTCTGATAATTTAGTGAGTACTAAATATGAGAAATCACATCAACAACAATATGGTCCAGTCTTAGAATTTGGTCTTAGGGCCAAACTCAACTGCACATAACCAGTTTGTAAGGTAAAAGCTGTCCAAGTTGTATAAGCTCTGTTATAACCATATCTTTGATCAATGTGTGACTAACCACTTTCATTGATGCTACAATTGAGGTAGTCCTCAAAGAGCATGCAACTAAGGTGAGTTAGAAATGATTGCAATTAAGGAAACTTTCTAACATCCAGTTTATCAGAAAGCATATTCTTAGATCTGAAAATAGATTGGATAGATATATTCCCATGTGACTAGCGAGACTTTTCCAATAATGTAAACAATCAGTCAGCTTATATTGATTTTAGGCTTGATTAGAATTTTGACTTTACTTTTATTTAAGTTTATTTATTAGTGACTTTTAAAAAATCAGAGGACGGTACATGTCTCTCACCTTTACAGTGCAGATGAAAAATTGACTACCATTAGTATTAGGACCAGCATTTGCCATGCTCAGAACCCCAGGACCGACATGCTTCACTGCAAGAAGGTGTTGAGACTAGAAATTTCAGAACTAAACTATTTTAAGTTGGAACAATGGCCAAAGCTGCATTTCAAATAACAATCACTACTATAAATTTATAAATATTATATTACTATCCAGCAAGCAACAGAGACATACAGGCAAAACTCTCATCTTTAAAACTAGGACCGTAGATACTAATTCCACCAGTTCCCTGCAGCCAATAAAAGCACATTTTAAGTGAGAAGAAACATTACCACACTCACTGATACATATACATGGCATGAAAATGAGAAGTAAATGCACTCATCAATACATTTATGCAGGCCTACAAACAAACAATATAGAGCTTACATTTCCTTCTGTAAAGTCTCCTCCCTGAATCATGAAATCTTTGATTATACGATGGAAGGAGCTTCCTTTGTAACCATATCCTTTCTCACCTGTACAAAGAATATTCAGCTTGATCCATAAAATGCAATGTTATGCAATCATTTCAGAGCAGTAACCCAACCACAAGAAGAAAAATGTTGCAGAAAAACTTGACTACTTGCCTGTACACAAAGCACGGAAGTTTTCAACTGTCTTAGGAACAACTTCTCCAAATAGGCCCAAAACAACCCTGCCCACAGGTTCACCCCCAACTTCTATATCAAAGAAACACTTGGTTGTCACTTTGGCTTGAAGCTCTAGTACCTAAAGGTAACAAAACCTTGTAAGATAGTCATCTTAATCACCACAGAATAGATTATTGATTGAGCATTGCCAAGACATTTTCAGATAAAATCAATGAATATGATTCTAAACACGGAGTTGTATGTTGTAAAATCAACAATCCAAAAACTGAATGACTCCACAATCAACAAGTAGTCTATTTTACAAATCATTTAGGGTCTGTTTGGTTTAAGGATTGCTCCTTCTATTTAAGCTCTCCTTCAATTTTTTGAAAATAAGAAATACAGTGAAAACAAGGTGGTATTTTTGTAAGTGGTGGTTTAAGGATATACGCGTTTTACTTTCTTTCTTTTATTATTATCATTTTCTTTTTTTGCTGTAAGTGCCTATAGAAAAGTTTATCCAAGCATGACTAATTATAAAAATGTCACTTTATTTTTGCTTTATTTCTTATTTTCAAGACTCATATAAGAAATGGTGAAAACCATGTTCTTTTCACACTCCTCAAGTGGAACATAGAATAGAAATTAGAGATACTGAAGGTGTTATCCTTTATCTTCTCCATTTTATCACATTGGCTTACCATTATTCAGTAAACATATTCCGAAACCACAAAATGTAAAATTGAAATGACAAACTTACATTGTCTGTAGCATTGACACATGTCATTCTCCTATATCTAGTTGACCTTGCTTCAGATTGTTGCGTGACAGAAAACCTGAGGGCATAATGCGATCTTGATGCCAGTGCTTTACCGTAACCAAGCTGTGATTTGGTACCGCAACAGACCACACGTGGCCTTTGAACCTTAGCCACATTTTGGCTGAAATTACCCTGAAAAAATGGTACCAAACTTTGAAACTTATACCTTTCTTAACATTTGAAACCAAAACCCCATAAGGCAAAGGTATGAAAAATGGCCCCTTTGGTTAATTATATTTAATGCAAACGAATTGGGTGCCTCCAAATCATAAACAGTGGTATTAGCTGTGAAGAGAAGGAGAAGTAGTAACCTTAAGAGGTGAAAGTGAGTTGTGACATTGAAGAAATTGAGCTGATAATGAAGACGCCATAGCCGAATACACACGATAAGAAGAAGAAGAAGACTACTTTCCTAAACCTTCGCTGTGCTGTGATGATTTTGATTTTGAAGGATCTTATCTATGTCTCTCTCTCCCTCTCTCTCTCTCTGATTTTACTATTAACTGTCTACATTTTTTTTTCTAAGAACAAAAGTTAAATAAATATAATCATGTACCTCAATTTTTTATGATACATGTTGAATTAATATTATTTAATTTAAAACTTTTTATAATTAGAATTAAATATGATACATTAATGATTTCTAAAAAATTTAAAATGTTTTTCTTAGAAATTTCAAAGACTAAAGAGTTTAAATATGTATATTTTTATAAATTTATTTTTATTATAAAAATAATATATTCATCAATGATTTTTTATATTTTACTTACATCAAAACAGTACACAAAATTCTTGCTAGTTTTCTATACAATTATGAAACTTTGACTTTATGAATTATACAAGATGAATAGCTAGTATTTATTGTTTTGCTTTCCAGTGCTGGTCCTACCTCGACTCACATAGATTTCTCAGTCACAATCTGTGAATTTAAAATGTAATGTCGATTAATGACAAAAAGAAATTATCAGAGTACATCTAAAATCTAAACAGGTAATTATTTAAGTATGCATAACGATATGTTTCTACTTTTTTGTTTTTATCGCTGATCAATTATAAACAAAGTTGTTATTTTTGGGCCTTTGAAATGGGTTGGGCTTTGAATATAAACAATGCTTAAATTCCTTGCAGAAAACGTGTCTGTTTTTCAGCGTTACTTCTCATAGGAATCACACTGTTTTTAGATTGTTAATGTACAGGAATGGAAGAGTATATGAAGTGTGAAAAGTAAATTTAATCAGATTTTATGGTCTTTGAAGGGAAATGGATTATTTTGCACGTAGTAGCATTTTTGTTATTGCCAAATAGGTTTGGTTCGGTTTAGCATTAGGTGTCCCTACAAATTCCCATTATTCAAGGATAAGGGTCCTTCTAGTTTAAAGTTTGGTTAAAAATGATTTTATCGGCGTGTATTTTAAGTATAAAAATTATTCTTGTGATGACCTCTAACATGCAAAATTATAAAAGCTAATAAATTTATCATACTTGACCAATAAGTAATTGAATGATGTATAAAAAAATATATTTATATTCTTAATATATTTTAAGTATTTTTTTAATTATAAAATTTACATTAGAATATACGTCATGATAGGAAAATTTGATCCTAGTAGTTGCCAAAAACACAAAAATTATTCTTACTTCTAGTAAAATTGTCTTGAAACACTTAGTTACCAATACCATGAGACAAAATCTATGCACATAAACAACTGCTGTTAGTTATTTTTGTTGAGTACCTTGGAACTTTGTATTGAAGTTAAGAGAGATATGGAATTTCCTTTTTTTAAAAAAATTTAATATATGTTTATTTTTCGTACATTGTTCAAAAAAAACTTGTCAAATTTCACATTTATACCAAAGTTATTTCATATAACTTTTTTTTTTTGCACTTATTTTTTAATTTTTTATTTTTTATTTTTGCATCTCTAGTTTTTTCATCCTAGAATCAAATAAGCTATATTGGAACACCATCATGGCAAAATGGCATGACATAAAGAATGTCGGTCTATGCACTAGAATTGAGGGCCCGAAAAAACTTGGGCTAAAAAAATGTTCACAAAAATATCTATTTGATAAAAGAGATAGTCGTTTTAATGCTCAAATTTTATAGACTATTTTATTCTTCAATTAATGCACACAACTACCTGCTATTATAAAGTCAGTTATACTAATAAGTTGATTGTTTAAAATAACGGCTTAATTTTGTAAACAAATTTATTTTTTAAATAAGTTATTTTCATAAATTTGAAAATTTGAAGTTTATTAATATTTTTTCACATTTTTTTTCCTAAAACTAATTTATTACATAAATTTAAACGAAAATTCATTTTGATCATAATACATATAATTACGTATTAAAATAATTTAATTTTTACAGTTTTCGGAACGCATTCTAACCACAGTCAAAGTTTTTATTTCGAAAGATTATGTTTGTTTTTCATGGAAGAATTTTATGTATTTTTTTAAAAGCTTTTTAATACAGTGAGAATCAAAGGGTTTCTGTCTAAAAAAGACGTGTGCCTCACACGTAACACAGAATCAAGTATAGGTCACGTCTTACATAAAACAAACAAATGAAACTTGAAACATGGTTGCATCAGTGACGTGAATTGTTTCATCCAAACAGCTTTGATTAGTGGATTCGTTGGGATAAAATTTAACACACGTTTGTTGGATGAAAATATTTAATTATTATTTTATTACATTTTAAAAATTGTAAACCTTTTTTTTACGTTCTGGTTGTTTAGTCTTTTAAATCCCAGCTTTGATCGGGCAAGCTAGTTTTCTATGATTTGGAATCATAGATGGATAGATATCTTGTACGCTCATAATTTTGGACTATTTTTAACATTAAATAATTCATACTAATATCATAATTAATTTTAAAAAAGAATATTATTATGTACATAAGTGAGTGAGTGTATGTTTATGGTTATAATAAGTTTGAAAGATAAAAAAGGGAGGCACTGAGGTTGTCTGATAGTAGTGGGTTTGGTTAGTCGTGGCATTGTGGAGTGGGGAATGAGTTACACTCTTTTCTTTCCATTTTAGTATCATCAAATATTTTGCATTTTAAATTGCACTCAACTCAACTCCAATGACCATGCACCGTCTGTTCATCTCATTTCTGTTCAGTTCTTTCTGCTCATTTTTGGTCGGCACGCCAATTATGTTCATCCAAATAACCCTCCAAGAACAAAAATAAATAAATAAAACATATATGTGGTTGAGTTCAATACCTCATAATTTCTCCTTTTCTCTTCCTTCCATCAATGAAAAACAAACATGACTCGACAATTCACTTCCACCGACCATGCCATTGCCTGCACCAGCAATTTCAAATTCTCCTACGGCACACAAATCTCGGATTATGCCACTTCTCATTATAATTTTCAACTTTGAATTGTCAAATTCCTAATATAAATAAGAAATAACGAATGCGAAAGGGAAGTGTTGCGAATGACTCATACATGGTCCCCTAACCTAAGAGATCAGAATGAAAGAAACCATGCAGGTGCAGTGGTTACTGGTTTCTGTTTTTGTCACTAGTGCAAAAAAAGGTATTTACGTCACCTAATTTACGTTGCAAACCACAAACACCGATGTTATAAAAACGCGGTGGCAGTTTCGTAAATAAGTGGAGACTAATTTATGTCAGACCCCTCGTAGTTCGACGTAAATTAAGTAATTTACGTCGGGCCCCTCTATTCCAACGTAAATTTACGTCGGGCCCCCTAGTCCGACGTAAATTTACGTCGGGCCCACCTTAGTCCGACGTAAATTTACGTTGGACCCCCCCAAGGCCGACGTAAATTTACGTCAGAGCAGCATAATCCGACGTAATAATTTCACTATATTCCCCCAACTTATCATTTTCCATTCCCGCGCTCACCGTTTATACGAAATCCTCTGAATTTCTGAGTCTCCCACATCGTTTATTGCTACATTCAACGTATCCAAGTCTCTAAGTGTCTGCACGTTGGTCGTTTGAGGTTAGTTTGTTGTCCACGTAATTTTTTTGTTTTTTTTTGCTATTTGTTCCTCTGGAACGGCCCGTTCTCCGTGCAGAACGGGTCGTTCTCCATGCAGAACGGGCCGTTCTGCTTAAATTACTGGCTTCGTAAATTGTTGATCTGGAATGGCCCGTTCTGATTTCGGTACGGGCTGTTCCAGATGCATTAAGTTTATTGCATCTACTCTTCTAGGTCGTGGCGGCTCATTGATTTATTATTTATATGGGCAATGATGAAAAATAAGAATGAAAAGATCAACTCTGGTGTATATTTTAATATTTGAATTTATGTTATGTTATGAATTTTTGTTTTCAATCTTTGAACCATATTGCTATATTTTGTTGAGCATTTTGTTGAAATGTAACACTTAAATTTAAACATCAATCCTGGTTGGCATTCCAGAACAGCCCGTGCTGGATTCAGAATAGGTCGTTCTTAAACCCTAAACCCTAAACCAGAACGGCCCGTTCTGAAACCAGAGAACGAGTTGTTCTAATTCACTCATTGTGTGTTACATTTGCATCTGGAATGGGCCGTTTCAGTTACAAAATTAACACACAACGAGTGGGATCAGAACGACCCGTTTTAAAATCAGAACGGGCCGTTCCAGGTTCATTAAAGAAGGACTATGAAAACTTGCCACGTATGTATCTACGTGGCATCCACGTCATCTACATTTGACACCGTTTGTAAAATTTGGACGGAAAGTCCTACATTGACATTTTTTAAATTATTGATCATCAAATTAAAACATAAAATTATAGAGGGACAAAATTGAAACTATTAAAAAAATAGAGTTGGGTGAAGTTCCTCCATAAGTGTTACAAACCATCACCAAACCATGACCATGGCGGGTACGACGGATAACACCATACAATGAAAAATAACGGATGAAAAATGGCGACGGAATCCAAAAACGCCACGTTATAATGGTCATTTGCGTTAGAGAATAGATGACTCAAATTTTTGGTTACTTGAAGTCTTATCTTGAAGAAGTACTAGAAGTGTGCTAAAAGGATATCCATAGTTACTTGCTGAAAAAAAAGCTTATTAACTTTGATTGTTCTCTTAGTGTGTGTTTGATTTAAGTTGAAAAAGTTAAGTTTAACGGAAAATTTTCGTTTAACGAAAATTTTTCGTTCAATGAAAATTATTCGTTCAACGAAAAAATAATATAAGTGTTACTTTGGATGCAACGTACATTTTGAAAATAATAAAGTTCAACATAACGTATAAAAAAACTATCAAACAAATGGATACAAACATTCCATAAGAATTGAATGTCCGTTTGTGTGCCTAAACTGCAAACCAAACATACTCTTAGTAGTTACACCAAATCTTTCACCAATGAATCAAATAATGCTTTTTGAAGCTAGAAAGATAGTTCAATAAGTTTGTGGTTGAGCTTAAAAATAAAATTTTAATCTCAATGTAAAAAGTCATGTTTTCTTACTTGCAACCAAATGTGTTTTTTTTACACAAACATTTA